GACCAGTGAAAACGGCAAAGGACGGGCCGCAGAGCCAAGGACACAAGGGTACCCTAGATGAAGGCGCGCGTTCTTACTAGGCGCGGCCCGACATGTCGAACATTATGAAAATCCTCCGTCTCGATTTTGTCGAGACGCCAGGTGCCTGGGCTCGCTTCGCCTTCGCCTTCGCCTGGGGCTTACCCAAAGGCCTCCTAAATGGGGTCCGAGTAGATGGGGTCAGAGGATCACGCCGAATCGGCGATGCATCGGCAACGTCGGCGATGCATCGGCGACGTCGGCGCGGAGAAAATCGGACTCCACGTCGAGCCGCATCGGCGATGCATCGGCGAACGGGCGCGATCCTCCGACCTCATCCATCGGCGGCGCGCCTGGCGGGGGAAGCGAGGAGGAGCAGGCCTTCTCAGAGGGCGGCGGGGCTGCTCGGAAGCCCTGCGGCCTTCTGCACACTTCCCCGTGTCCTCGGGGAAGGCTCCGAACCGAGGGCCCGAGGCCTCGCCACGGCGGGACTCTCCTCCAACTCCAGGTCGTGATGCGGCAGGATGGGTCCGGGGAGCAGCGGCACTGGAGCTCGTCCGCCGGCCCGAGAGGAGGGCTCCCAACTTCGCGCTTCGCGCTACGCGAAGCGCGAATAACTTCGCGCTCTCGCGCCGCCCTCCCAAAGGGAGAATAGGAGGACGAGGAGGAGGGGGAGAAGGAACGAGGACCGCGAAGCGCGAATAACTTCGCGCCCTCGAGGGAGCCCTTGAAGAGGAGGGGGGCGAGGCCGTGGCGAGGCTGCGCGACGTCGGCTGCGCGGCGGTGGCCGCTCCTGCGCACGCGCGCCTCCCTGTGGCGCGCGTGCGCGCCGAGCCTCCCGATGGGGCGAGCGTCGAGCCCCTGTGGTCCACAGAAGGCCCCGAGCCTCCCGGGCCCTCCGAGGAGGCCCGCCCCCTCTCTGCACTCCCCCCCTCCCCCCCCCCCCTCCCCCGTCCCTCCCTCCCTCCTCCTCTCACCTCCCTCCCTCTCCCCTCCCCCCCCCTCCCCCCTCCCCCCCCCTCCCCCTCCCTCCGCCCTCCCGCCCTCCCTCCCTGCCTCCCTCGGCTCTCCGACGGACCCCCCCCCCTGGCGGGCCCCACAGTCTCGACGTGCTGCTGCTCCGCTGCGTGGACCCTTCAGAGGTCCGGCTGCCACTGGACAGGCGCAGGTCCGACTGTCACTGGACGGGCGCGCTCCGCTGCTCGCAGAGAGTGACTGCTCGCAACTGGCCTGGATCCGCCGACATTCGGCGGTGGACAAACCTCCCTTTGGCAAACCTCCATGGAGTGAACACGGCCCAGGGCCGAAACCGACGGACCTGGACCCGCAGAAGTGACGGCCGTGACGCCCTCTCGCGAACCGAAGACGGCCAATCCGCTAATCGACGTGGCAGGATTGGATGTCTATCCGCCCCCGATGCGTGGAGGAACACGTGTGCTTTTCGGACGCTTGCGAGTAGGCACCTTGCGAAAGAGTGGAACGCGCGCGGTGAGTCAAAGCGTGGACCCCCTGGAGGGCCCGACCCGTTGCCCGGGACCGGCTCCTCACCCCGAGAAGCGGTTCTTCGTGGACAGCTCCTTGGCCGCTGCGAGGGCCCCCTCGGCGCCGAAAGTCATCCGTCTTGTTCTTTCAATGCGTTCCCAGACTTGTTCGCGCCGTGACGAACTTCGGCGGCGCGCGAGGAGGGGAACTTAGAAGGATAATGCTTTCTCAGAAGGTTCGGAAGTCTCCTGGCCGGCTGAAAGAAATTTTCTACGCCTTCCCCGAAGACGCAGAAAACCTCTCAGAAGGCGCGAGGGCTTCTGAGAAACCCTGCAGATTTCTGAGAGGGCCTTCCCCTTCTCGCTCCCCCCTCGCTCGCCGCCGAAAAGTCACGACAAGAAACCTTTGGCCTTTTTGGCCTCCAGGGCCCTCGCCGGGCCCTCGGACTGTCCAAGAACACCTCGGGGTGAACCACCGGCCCTGGGGAATGTCCGGTGGCAACTCGCGGGGGCCTCCCATACCATCATCTTGTCGGCTCTTGCGAACCGACGCTGATTGACGCCAAAGCGACGCCGATCGACGCTAAATCGGCACTATCTCATCGATTCCCAGACGCTAATCGACGCTAGAGACGTGGTCAAGAGGGTATACCAGGCTGCCATGATTTGCTACCGAAGGAATGGGTCGGCACTTTCGGGGACCTCGTCTTTGACAAATCAGGGCGTCCCAAACATGCGACGTTCTGATTTTTTCCATGGGTGGTCCCGGGGAAATCCGACCCCTTCCCCAGGGCCAATTTTTCAATCCCGCGTCGGTTTTTGACGGTCCTGGGCCCGGCGAGGGCCCCCGAAGGCCGAAAAGAGCAAACAGCCTCCCGTCTTGTTTTCGTCTTTTCGTGACACGAGCATGTCTGGGGTCGTATGTCCGGGTTGGTGCTGGCCCCGCCCCTGGGTGCGCCCGCGACGCCGCCCCGCGCCGCTGCCAGGGGCTGCCCCGCAGCCTGGCCGCCCCGCGCGCTCCCTGCGGCGCCGCCGCGTGAGAGCGCCCCCTCCCTTCCTCCCCCCCTCCGCGGCCGCCTCCTCCTGCCCCCCTCCCCCCCGCCTTGCATGCGGGACAATTCGCAACGCCGTAGCCCGGGATGCTCGACGCCCGAGCGGATCGCCTCTGCCGCGCCGCGACGGAAAAAATCTGGGTTGGTAGTCTGGGGCGGAGCCCATAGCGGCGCTGGCGGGTCGGTCCGGGCGAGCGGGCCGCGCGGCGAACCGAGCCAACCCGCGAAGCGAGCCGAGCGAATCGAGCGGGGAGGCGAACTAAGACGAAGCCAGGACGACGATCGGGGAGACGCAAGACTCGGGTTCGGGGGACTCGGGCTGGCCTGACGGGGCCATCATAAACATGACGAGACCCAGTGGGAAATTCGACGCGATCTCCCACTGCAAACATGCCACGAACACTGGACCGTCAAAATCCAAGACGTGCTCGTCAAAAAGCGTCGGCAAACCCGAGTTCCTGCGTACTCGAGTCTTACGATTCTTCCCCGAGAAGATAACATCGGGTGAAGAGCAATCGAGAATCTCTCAGAACCGGCGGCTCTGGAAAATGTGTCGAGCGCTGCTGCCTTCTCAGAGCGTTCCGGAACGCGCTGGAACGGATTCATCCTCGTCCTGGCCCCGTCCGCAACGCGGACCCCGGAGGTCTGGACCTCTTCCTCGGGACTGGCTCTTCATCCTCGGTCGTTTGCTGACTGTCCTGGGGGGGGGGGCCCGGCGAGGGCCCCCGAAGCCGAAGATAGCCAGAAGCCTCCTGGCGTGACCTTGCCACCGTGAAGATGAATGGGAGTCTATCAGCCGTCGGAACTGGTCCTCGTCCCCGCCTCGAGTACGTCTGGGGGGGTCAGGTCAGCAGACCCCCCCAAACAGACGTCAAGGGGCGCAACCAACCTGTTCGGTCAAGCTGAAACTGATGCATGCACCACACTCGGCGTCAAACCAAAACTTTGGACATCAACGAACGGTTGGATTTTGCACATCTCCGTTGGCCTAACCGGCGAGGCGTCTGACCACCTTGACGTCCCTTTTGTAGAGGACCTTCAGAGGAAGCCGCTCTCTGACCCTCGGCCCTACAGGAGGGGCCCGACCACAAGAAACCTTCCACAAGAAACCCAACCCTGAGACCCCAGGACGTCCCTTGATTTTTTTGGGGGGGAACGTCGCGCTCTCCATGGCAGAACCATCGAACCCCAAGAAACCCAGGGCCACCCTGGAGGCAAGCAGGGCGTCTCTTGGCATGGGTCTCCACTGCGCTCAGTCCCAACTCCTCCCACGGTAGGCGACTCGAGGCCTGGGCGAACCGGGCCCCACCGCTCCCCCCCTGACCTTCTCGAGTGCTGAAAACAGCCCTCCAGACCTGTCTGGACTGCCTACAAGAAGAAGCAGAAACTCCACCCACGTAATGAGCACCCGGACATGCGAAGCCGTTGAGTAAACGCACCCATGGAAATAATCGAACAAGGCAGGGCTGTTTAGGCAACGCCCATGACTGTTTAGTGAACGCCAATTGTCGGGGTCGGGGTGGTTCCTTGCTTGATAAAACCTCGACAGGCACCCTCCCCTGGATGCACAAAAACATCCAACACACACGAAGAACTCTAATTGTACCCTCCCCGAACCGGCCTCGACAACATACCTCGGTCCGATTGTAGGCAAGCAAGCCTGTGTGCACAAGCTGGCCGTTCTCGTTCTGCGCACGGTGACGTTTCGGCCCTGCGCGCTGCAGTCAAAGCTTATAGTAAAGATGCGCGACAAGGACACAAAAGCCCCTTGGACGCCCGTGTTGAGGCTTCTGCGAGCGCGGCGGCCAGTCTAAAGTGGTCAAGGATGGACCGAAGAGGCATGGATGCAAGAGTCGGGTCGGGCAAAAGGGGGGGATAGCAAAGGGGGGGTTTGAGAATCAGCTCACGCAGCTGATTTTCCCGGCGCCTCCCGGCGCCGGAGGCGGCTATGTATCGAGGAATGGGCCCCTCGGTGAGGCCGAAACCAGCTGCATGCAACAAATTTCCTAACCCCCCCTTTCCCAATCCCCCCCTTTCGCCCGGCCCGAAAGAGTACGTACCCTTGGGAAGGTCAACCATCCTTACCATCTGTTTCGACGGTATACTCTCGTGACTAGAGCCTGTACGTGTCATGGGCCTGCACGCTGTGCGGAGCGCTGCAATGTATGCGCACATTACCGCAACACGCGGCAAACACCAGCTGGAATGGAGAACGCCAGGATACAATCGAAAACCTGATTATTGCAGTGGAGTGATCCTCAAACTGGGCCACTCTCCACTCCTGCCCTCTGTCCGTTCTGCCCTTTCCTCTTCCCCCAACTGCACAAGACCACACGAGAGATAGATTTTGCGGTCACGCGGATTCCGACTGTCGTTCGATGCTGTCCTCACCGAAGATCTGACATTCAACAACTTTTTGACCGACAGGCCGCGTCTGCGTCGCTCGCGCTCAGTGCTGGAAGAGGAATCTGAGGTCTTGCTCCTGGCACTCCACAGCGATGACACATTTGGACAAGATGAGCAAGTGACACGAGTAGTACACGCAATGGCTGCAATGCTTAGCGTCATTCCCAAAGGGCATGGCACCTGATGCATGTAGTAATGTGCGCGTCCAATACGAAACGCTCGTGCGTAAATATGGCCTTTTACGACGTAGTCTACCTACCGTCCATGAAGCCTTTGGCCTCATAGACCAGGACTGTGCCACACGCCTGACGACAGAGCAGCAACGGATGCGAAGGCGGAGCCCCACGAACGAACACGAACGAAGGAGTGGACCCGCATGAAGCTCCTGAAAACGTCCACCATGGAAGGCCTGAAATCAACTCCTGATAACTTATATGATCCCTTACATGCGACTACGGGGGTCGAGGTCGCCAATGGGGCAGGTGTATCACCGCCCGTGGAACCGGAAGCAGCCGGACCCTCTGTGGTGAGGGAGCCTCTGAGTCCCGCAAGGGGCTGCGTGGCGAGGCACTGCCTTGGCGCGCCGATCACACCGTGGTGGGGCGCTCCGCCTGGCCAAGGAGGCCTCCCCTCGGTCCTGGCAGCACCTCCTCCAGACTCCTCCTGGGCCCTCGACGCACGAACCAGACGACGCCAAGACACGGGCGCAAAACATCGGACCGGGACACATCGGGCATCTCTGAGATCCGGCGGTTCTGGAGGTGTCGGGCGCCGCGGCCATGCCAGAGCGCTCCGGAACGCCCAGAGAGCGCTCCGGAACGCCCTTCCAGATGCATCCTGGCCCTGTGTGCGGGGCTAGGCTTGGGCAGGGACCCACCGTCCCCGCATTCTTATAGGCCTACCACGAAATTCTCTTAGAACCCCCACATGCTCTTATACCAGAAGCAAGGATCTCAGACCATAAGCCCGATGTGTCAAAACAAGACAGTCCCAGCCAGAAACGTTCAAAGAACATCTCGTGCAAACCACAGAAGGTTCTTCGAACAGTCTATGGTGGGCCTGTAGGCGAGCCAGGACGCTTCGCCACTGCCTGATAGGAGCGTCAGGGTGTGGCTATAGGGAGAGACCGGCTCTTATAGGCCTACCACGAAATTCTCTTAGAACCCCCACATGCTCTTATACCAGAAGCAAGGATCTCAGACCATAAGCCCGATGTGTCAAAACAAGACAGTCCCAGCCAGAAACGTTCAAAGAACATCTCGTGCAAACCACAGAAGGTTCTTCGAACAGTCTATGGTGGGCCTGTAGGCGAGCCAGGACGCTTCGCCACTGCCTGATAGGAGCGTCAGGGTGTGGCTATAGGGAGAGACCGGCTCCGAGGGGGACGCATCGGCCTGGAATCGCCGATGCATCGCCGGCAGATCAGCGACAGGCCCCCTCCGCACGTTCTTGCTCGGGGTCGACCTGTCGGGCCCCTCTCGGCGATCAGCGGACGACTGGGAGTCGATGCCTTCTCCCCTGAGCCTATCCCCCCCAAGGATCCTCGCCGTCTGGGCGACGATCAAAAACGGGTCTTGCGCGAGATGACGTAAAGACCTGGCGCGGTGGCTAACGCGGGCCGCCCGCGCGGCACGCCACGTTTGAAGCGGGGGCGCTGACGCGCGAGCTTACGCGGGCAGCTTACGTGCGAATGTCGGCGCCGAAGACCCCGTTTTCTGGCGCCGCTCCTCTTGTCTTCGGGTCATAGCCTGGGCCTCTGGCGGCCGCTCGGGACGCTCCGGCCCCCCCCCCCCCCCCGGAACGCTCTCTCGGCGGGGCGCTGCCGCTGGAAGGCATCCCCGGGCGAGAAAGCCCTCGCGAACCACCAAACCCTTCCCCCCTCCCCCCTCTTCGGCGCCCCCCCAGTCGCTGCCCCTGAAACGGCCCCCCCCCTGACGTTGCCCCTGCGCATGGAGGAGGAGGAGGAAGAGGAGGAGGAGAGGAGGGGATTAGGAGGAGAGGAGGATGAGGAGGAGTGAGAGGAGGAGGATGTGGAAGAGGATGAGGAGGAGGAGGAGGAGGAGGAGGAGGAGGAGGAGGAGGAGGAGGAGGGCGGCTCCGACGGGCGGGGGCACGCCGCGAGCAAAGCCGGGGCGCCCCCCCGGGGGAGCGGGGGCCGAGCCGCCGTGCTTCCCGGGGGCGTCCCGCAGGGGGGCGCGCAAGAGGGGGGGGCGCGAGACGCACGGCCCAAGGCGTGTGCGCGGACGAGGGGGGGACCAAGGGACGTATTGAGAGGTGCGCCATGGGATCCGGGGAGATATCGTGGCTCTGGACATGATACCCCCCCCCCGTTCCTATTCCCCCCCCCGTGAGAAGGCCCTGGCTTTCTTTCAGATTCCCCCCCCCCGTTAGAAGGCCCTGGCTCTCTTTCAGAACGTAGACCCCCCAAAAATCTGGACCCCTTCCCGGGACCAGCTTTTCCTCCAGGGCGTTTTTTTGATGGTCCCGGGGCCAGGCGAGGGCCCCCTGATGACGAACATTACCCAAAGCCGCCCGGGTGGGGGCATCTGTTCACTGGCCTCTGCATGCAGCCTTACGGCGTGTAGTCTCTTGACAGGGGATCCTGGATCACCACTTGTTGTCATACGACATCGGTGCTAGGCCCCCCCGTCACTAGACTTTTTTGTTTTTTGAGCCTGCGCGCGACCCGTAACCCAGCGGTGGATGTCCGCGAGAAGAGGTGGGGGCGTGGCAGGCTCCGTGAGCTTCGAGATGGCGGCGGCCGAGTTGTCGATGGCGCCGTCGAAGACCAGCTGTTTCTTCTCCTGCAGCGGCTCTGCGCCCAGCGCGTCCTCCTCCCTGCTCCTCCTCCTCCCTGCTCCTCCTCCTCCTCCTCCTCCTCCTCCTCCTCTCTCCTCTCTCCTCCTTCTTCGCCTCTCTCCTCCCTCCTCCCTCCTCCTCCTCCTCCTCCTCCTCCTCCTCCTCGTCTTCCTCCTCCTCGTCTTCCTCCTCCTCGTCTTCCTCCTCCTCCTCCTCCTCCTCATCCTCATCCTCATCCTTCTCCTTCCCTTTCCTCGTCCTCCTCCTCCTCCTCCTTCCTCCTTCTCCCGCCTCCATCCTCCTCCCTCCTGTGTCCTAGAGCAAAGAGGTCAAAGAGGTCCTCCCTCTCCTCCTTCTCCTCCTCCTCCTCCTGCATCCCCTCCCTCCCCCCTCCTTCCCTCATCCCCCTCCTTTCCCCTTTTCCCCCATTGTCCCCCTCCTCCTTCCCTCCCCCCTACTCCTCCTCCTCCTTCCTGCTCCTCCATTCCTCCTCCTCATTCCTCCTCCTCTCCTCCTCCTCCTCCTCCTCCTCCTCTCCTCCTAATCTCCTCCTCCTCTTCTCCTCCCTCCTCCTTCTTTCGACTCATACTTCATCTCTCCTATTGTATCAGTACCAGTCGTCTCCTCGTCTTCCTCCTCTCCTCCTCCTCCTCATCCTCATCCTTCTCCTTCCCGTTTTTGATCCTCGTCGTCGTCGTCCTCCCCTCCCTCCCCTCCTTCCTCCTTTCCTGCCTCCCTCCTCCACCCCCCCTTCCCCCTCCTCCTTCCTCCCACTCATCCTCCTCCTTCCCTCCCGTCCCCCTCCTCCTTCCTTCCTTCCTTCCTTCATTCCTTCCTGCATCCTTCCTTCCCTCCTTTCCCTCCATTTCCCTCCTTCACTCCTTCCCTCCGTCCATCCCTCCCTCCCGCCCCCCCCCTCCCTCACCTCCCTCATCCCTCCACTCCCTTCCTCTCCCCTCCCACCCTCTCCCTCCCTCACTCCCTCCCTCCCTCCCCCCCTACCCCTCAACCCTCCTACCTTTCTCCTCCCCTCATCCTCCTCCTCCTCCCCCTCCTCCTCCGCCCTCCCTCCCTCCCTCGCCTCCATCCCCTCCCTCCCTCCCTCCCTCCCTCCTCCATCCCTCCCCTCCCTCCCTCCCTCCCTTCCCTCCTCCTCCTCTCCTCCTCCTCCCCCTCCTCCTCCTCATCCTCCTCCTCCTCCTCCTCATCCTCCTCTCTCTCCTCCTCCTCCTCCTCACGCCTTCCTCCTCCTCTCCTCTCCTCCTCCTCCTCTCCTCCTTCATCCTCCTCCTCCCTCCTCCTCCTCTCCTCCTCCCTCCTCATCCTCCCATCCTCCTCCTCCTCTCCTCCTCCTCCTACTCCTCCTCCTCCTCCTCCTCCCCCCTCGGACCTGGCGCACCTCCTCCTCGCCTACCCCCCTCCTCCCCTCCGCGGCCGCCTGGGCCCCGCCGCAGCCGCGGAGCTCCCCGCGGGGCTCCCGCCCGTCGCCTCGGGCCCAGGGGCACCCGACCAGCTCGGCGACCTCTCCGCCGCAGCTGCTCGCAGGCTGCCCCGGGGGCTAAGTCGGGCGTGTCCCCCTGCAAGGGGATTTTCGACGAAAAATAAAAGATACGCAACACATATCCCCAAACGGTCAAACTCAAAGAGTAGTTCCCTGCCTATTCTTAAAACAAAAAAAAAACTATTTTTTAATATTCCTCCCGTAGAGGGACGGGCCCGACTTAGGCCCAGAGGCGCCCGACCAGCTCGGCGACCTCTCCGCCGCAGCTGCTCGCAGGCTGCCCCCTGGGGCCCCCCGGACCGGCCGTGCCCGCAAGGGGCCGAGGGGCACACAAGTAAATGGACACAACGCCGCGGGATTCCCGATCTTTTCGCGCAGCTGATGGATTTTCGTCTCCCCACCACTTCCCATGTGTTCCCGTATCTTCACGGGAATCGGCGTTTTTGCTTGTGCCTGCGCTTGTTTTTTGGCGGCGAGCACGGGGGGGAAGTGGGAATGGGCGGGCCCTCTCAGAAGGCTCGGAAACCCCTGGGCCTTCTGACCAGCAGCTTTCCAAGCCTTCCGCGCCGACGCAGAACACTTCCCAGAGGGCCCCGAGGGCCTCTGAGAGGCCCCGCCGCCTTCGGAAGATGCCTTCTCCTTCTCACTTCCCCCCTCCCCTCTCGCTCGCCACCGAATCTTTCCCTCCTGGATGCTCTCCTCCCTCGGGGATCTTCTGACCCGGGTCAATCCAGACCCGGGTCAGCAGGAAACCAAAAACTGCAATGCAGGAAAAAAAACTGCAACGCAGATCCTCGCAAACCCGGGTCAGCCAATACGAACGGCCGCCTCGCGGCCACGAGCGGCTCCCTGACCTGGGTCAGCCAGAGGGGGCCTTCGCAGGATCCTGCAGGATCCGGTGCCCTGGCTGACCCCCGTTTGCATTGACCCCCGTCCCGAGGCTCCCGACTCCCCCTCCTCTCCCGCGGCCCGGCCGTGCGCTCTCGCGTCGGGCCGGGGGCCGCCGGAGGACCCCGCCGCCGCTCCCAGCGGCGCGCGCGCGCGGGAATATCGGGGGGCCCCTCGCTTCGCGGCCACACGGCTCGCGCCCTGCGGAGCGCACCGACGCCTGCATGCCTGCGGCCGCGGAAAAACAATAAAGGGAAATTAGGACACACAAATAAATACACACAAATAAAACTAGTCCCCATATTTTCCCATATTTTCTGGGTTTTTGTCTTCCCCCCCAATTCCCATATTTTCCCATATTTTCCTGGGAATCGAGGATTAATTGTGTCTGTGTGTTTTTTTCCCTCCTGAAACAAAAGAGGTGGGAATTGGGGGGGGGGTTCTGGGCAGGGCTCGACTGAAGCGGCGGCGTTTTTCCGTTCTGGTTCTGCTTTCGTTTTCCCTCGTTCTGCCTTCGGGTCCCGCCTCTGCTTCCAGACGGGAGTGGAAACGACAACGGCCCACGAACTCGCCAGAAACCCGTTGAAGCCCTCGTTCTGGGCCCCAGTCGTCCTGGGGTGCGCCCCGGGCGACGCTCTCTCTCTCTCTCTCACTTGAGGCCTTTCCTGCGCCGCCTCTTTGGCTCTCCAGGCTCGCCAGCCCGAAGTGCAGCGAGCCAGCTCGCACTCGCGGCGGAGCCCAGGGGGTGGGGGCGGGGATTTGGCGCACAGTCAACCCGCACACCGTAGGGACCCAGCCACAAGAAACCCAACCCTGAGACCCCAGGACGTCCATCGATTTTCGGTGTGGGAACGTAGCGCCGCCTTCCATAGCAAAACCATCGAAACCCAAGAAACCCAGGGAACCCTGGAGGCAAGCAGGGTGTTTCTTGGCATGGGCCCCAATTGTAGTAAGCATGGGCAACCTTCCCAAGGGCACCCTTGTAGCCTTGCCTCCTCGGTCCATCCTCGGCCGCTCTCGCCGGCCGCGCCCCGCTCGAGAAGCTTCGAAATGAGCGTCAAAGCAGGTCCGGACCTAAACGTTGTTTATTGTTTTGTTTTCGTTTTGCTCTAATTGTTCTCCTGTGCCTCCCTGCCAGAACGAAAAGCAAGGCACGGCCGAAATCCAACAGAACAGCGTTTAGGTCTAGCCCTGCGCCAAAGGCCCTTGCATCCTGATCGTGCATCCTCTTGATTTGAGCAGGGACCGACCGTCCCGGCATTCCTATAGTCCTACCGCGAAGTGTTCTTAGAACCCAGCGCTGTTCGAAGAACAAGAACAACAACAGGTGCTAAAACAAGACAGACCCCGCCAGACATGTTCTAAGAACAGTCCGTGGGAAGCACAAAAGCTCCGAGAGCATTGTTTGGCAGGGCTACAGGCGAGCCAGGACGCTTCGCCACTGCTTGATTGATGCGGGCCGACTGCAGACTCCTCACGTCTGGAGGAGGAGGAGGAGGAGGAGGAGGAGGAGGAGGAGGAGGAGGGAGGATGAGGAGGAGGAGGAGAAGGAGGAGGAGGAGCAGGAGGAGGGGAGGAGGGCGGAGAGGAGGAGGAGGAAAGATGTAAGGAGGAAGAGAAGGAGGAGGAGGGAGCAGGAGGAGGAGAGGAGGAGGAGGAGGAGGAGGAGGAGGAGGAGGAGGAGGAGGAGGAGGACAAGGGGGTGGAGGAGGAGGAGGAGGAGGAGGAGGAGGAGGAGGAGGAGGAGGAGGAGCAGGAGGAGAGAGGCCTCCCCCCCGCTTTCCCTCCTCTGCGGCCGCCCTCCTCCTCCGCACCTGCCTCCGCGTGCCCGCCGCCCGGCGGGCGGCCCGTCGGCCACGTCGTATCCGAACGCGCTGGCGTCCGCCCTCGCTGCTGAGGGGCAAACGCGAGGCTCGGGGGGGGGGGGGGTTCTGGGCCGGCCGTCTCGGGGCGGGTCTCAGGAGACGCTCTCTCGTCCATTCGAGGCTGCCCCCCCCCCCGTCCTGGCCGGGCGGGAGGGCAGCCCCGAAGGGAGGACAAGGGAGCCTGGCGAGGAGGCCCGAGCCAGCTCGCAATCGAGTCGAAGACCAGGGGAGGGGAGGGACCCAGGGGTAATGCGCACCCCCCTCCTCGCTCCCCTGCCCCCCCCTCCCCCCCTCCCCTCCCTTCGGGCGACCCACGATGGCCTCAAGATGGCTGAAGATGGCCTCAGGACGGCGAAGCGCCCTCCAACATGGCCGCAGTGGAGGCCAATGTGGTCTCAGGACAGCCCCAGAAGCCCCCAGGACAGCACATAAGACCCGAACACTTCATGCATTGACTCATACCTAGCACGGCCTGCATGGTACTGGCCGTGGTCCGCTCGCGGATGTGGCTGGACGATGCGCCCCAAGCTTTCCAATCAGAGGCTGCCATGGCAGGAATTCTTGGACGGGTCGGGGCATACATGCAAGCGGTCATAGAGACCTTCCCGCCAAGGGAGGCGGTTGCAAATTCTGTGATTTGCATCTTTACGGACCCGTCCGAAGCGCTGGGCGAGATCCAAGACCAGCGCTGCCCAGAAACGCAGGGGGCCACGGCAGTACGGAAGGGATGGGTGCGTGAAGCTCGGGGGCAAAGGCTGGGATTGGCTCACCGTTGAAGGGAGCCGGGGATTCAAGGCAGAAGGGGTGGGGCTTCTCAGAAGGCCCAAAGGGCTCCAGCCTTCCGAGAAACTTTCCAGGCCTCCTCCTCCGAAGACGCAGGCGCCTTCTCAGAAGGCCGGAGGGCTTCTGAGAAGCACCGCCGCCTTCTGAGATGGTCTGCCCCCTCTCAACTTGGCACGCCTCGAGATGAGGTGGCGAACGACTGGCCCCCCGTCCACGGGTTGCCTGGGTTACGGCGGTGTCGTGCGTCACCCTGCCTGTGGCTCTCGCAGACACGTTCCGATCACTCACGGAGCTTTCGGAAACCCTGCCGCTGGCATGCGGCCGTTTCGGATGCACTGCAGCGGGCGACCGCCTGGTCGTAGCCAAACGCTGCAAACCTCGCTTCGCAGGTCCGCACACCCAGAACCGCCGGAGGGGGATACCCTGAAAACCCGCGCGCGGGGTGCGCCTGAGGGGAATCCGGGAGCGCCCTGAACGCAGCAGCTTCGTCAACGGCTGCGGGAAGTCACCGCGCAGCGGGCGGAGCGAAGAAGAAACCCAGGATATGCCCTGACGAAAAGCGCATGGTTTCTCGATGCGCGCCCCCACTGTACCCTTCCTCTTTTCGGGCGCACGCGAACCTGGATTACGATCCCTGGATCTGGCAAGCGAGCGCCAGCTCCACGGATCGCAGGTCTGCACTTCCTCGAGAGCAGGAGGAGGAGGAGGAGGAGGAGGAGGAGGAGGAGGAGGAGGAGGAGGAGGAGGAGGAGGAGGAGGAGGAGGAGGAGGAGGAGGAGGAGAACGTGCTGGTGCCGCCTGATGTGGCGACGGAGCGCGCCGCTGTCGCATGGAAGCGGGGCCCGTCGCTTATGCACACGCCTTGACCCATGGCCTTGCGCTCCGTGGGCTTCGAACTTCCCCCTCCGTTGCTCGGGGGAGGGCCCAGGGGGGGAAGCGAGAAGGGCAGAGCCTTCTCAGAGGGCGGCGGGGCTTCCGAGCCGCCTCGCCCGCTCCCGAGAAGGCCTGCCCCCTCTCGGACGCCTCGCAGTTTTGGGATCACAGCTCGGCTCTGAGGCGGACGTTCGGGATGCTTCGGGCACCCCCAGAACGCTCTCGGCGAGGCGCAGCCGCTGGAACGGATCCCGAGGCTGGAACGCCGCCGAGAACGCCCGAAAGCCTCGAAACTCGAACGAGCCTCGAATCTCGAACGCTCTCGGCGAGGCGCAGCCGCTGGAACGAACCGCCAGGCTGGGAAGCCTCTGAGAACCGACAAAAAAACCGAAAACCTCGAAGCTCGAACCCGAAGCTCCCCTAAAACTTTCCCGCCTGGGGCTCGCCCCCGAATTGCCCCAACAGACCCCGTCGCGCTGTGAACAGCAGCGCGCCGCGAGGCTCTCCGCCATTTTTCGGCCTCTCGTTGGGGACCTACTGACCCAGGTCTCTGCAAACCTGGGTCAATTGAGCTTTGCAGGATCTTGCAAGACTGAGGTCGGGCATGTCCTCCTACAGGCAGGTTTTGTGAGGTAAATAAAACATGCGCAGAAATACGCAATAAAACTCCAAACGTACTAAACACATCGTCTCCATACTATTTCCCTACCTAGGCTCTGCCTAGAAGGGTTCTTACTCTCTTAGCTTAAAGGGGCCGGGCAGTGCAACACGCCCCGGGCGGTTCCCCCAGTCCCCTGGGAGCGGTTCCCCCCAGTCCCCTGGGAGCTTTAGCTTTAGCTTAGCTTTAGCTTAGCTTAGCTGTAGCTTAGCTTTATCTTAGCGTTTCGCTTAGCTTTTCGCTTAGCGTTTAGCTTAGCTTTAGCTTAGCTTGAGCTTAGCTGTAGCTTAGCTTTAGCTTAGCTTTAGCTTAGCTTTATCTTAGCTTTAGCTTAGCTGTAGCTTAGCTTTGGCTTAGCTGTTGCTCAGCTTTAGCTCAGCTTTAGCTTAGCTTTAGCTTTAGCTTAGCTTTAGCTTAGTTTTAGCTTAGCGTTACTGTTACTACTAATGCTGCTTTCCTAGAGGTTCCAACTCCTAGGTAGGGTCGCACTGGGATAATTTTTGACTATTTTTGAACACTCCTCCTGTAGAGGGACAGGCCCGACTTAAGCTTTGCAGGATCTTGCAAGACCATCCTGCAAAATCCTGCACGCAAGCACGGGTGACTGCGGCCTTGGCTCTGCAGGACCCTGCAAGAGCCGGCGCTCTGGCCGACCCCCGTTTGCGCACTGATCACCGTCTCGAGGCTCCCGATCTCGGGGCCCTCGCCAGGCCCTGGGAAGGACGGACGGAAGGAAGGAGGAGGAGGGTGAGGGTGAGGAGGAAGAGGAGGAGGAGGAGGAGGAGGCGGAGGAGGACGAGGAGGAAGGAAGGAAGGAAGGAAGGAAGGAAGGAAGGAAGGAAGGAAGGAAGGAAGGAAGGAAGGAAGGAAGGAAGGAAGGAAGGACTGAAGGGGTGCCATACGCCCTGAGGCGCGTCGGCGCGACATGCGCTCAGGCGAGCAGTAAAGACTTGCCGATCTCGAGCAGCGTGTGGGTAGCTTCTTAGCCCATTCCAACCGTGGGGCCCTGGTTCTCCGAGCCCAAGCCCCATACCGTACAACAGCTGCTGACGAGGGAGAAGCCTGTCCCGTGGAATGGGCCGAATGTAGTTTTCGGGTCACAGCTCGGGTCTCTGGCGGCCGGTCGGGGACTCGGGTCTCTGGCGCCCCTGGAACGCTGTCGGCGAGGCGCAGCCGCTGGACTGCATCCCGAGGCTGGGACACCGCCGAGAGAACCAGCGAGAACGCTGGGAAGCCTCGAGCCTCGAGCCTCGAGCCTGAAACTCCCCTCGGGAAGCCGGAACCCGCCTGCAGCGCGATGATCTTCTCCTCGACCGTCCCTGTCGTGATGAAGCGCACCGCCCGCACCTCGCGGCCAGGTGGAGCGGGCGGCTACTCCCCCCTCTGGCCTTTCCTGCGCCTGCTCCTCCTGGCAGGGATGAGGAAAAAAGCGGGAGGAGGAGGAGGAGGAGCAGCATGAGGAGGAGGAGGAAGAGGAGGAAGAGGAGGAGGAGGAGGAGGAGGAGGAGGAGGAGGAGGCGGAGGGGGAGGATGAGGATGAGGATGAGGAGGAGGAGGATGAGGATGAGGGTGATGGTGATGATGATGCTGCTGCTGCTGATGATAAGGATGATGATGATGCTGATGCTGATGCTCATGCTGATGATACTGATGATGCTGATAATGATGACGATGCTGACGATGAGGATGAGGCGGAGGAGGAGGAGCAGGAGGAAATGAGAAAGAAGAAGAGGAGGATGTGGAAGAGGAGGAGAGGAGAGAGGAGGAGGAGGAGAGGAGGAGGGGAGGAGGGAAGAGCAGGAGGAGGACGAGGAGGAGGGAGGAGGAGGACAGAGCGATGAGGAGGAGGAGGAGAAAGGAGGAGCAGGAGCAGGAGCAGGAGGAGGAGGAGGGGACGAGGACGAGGACGAGGAGGAGGAGGAGGAGGAGGAGGAGGAGGCGGAGGAGGAGGAGGAGGAGGAGGCGGATGGAGGGGGGAGGAGGGAGGAGGGAGCAGGAGGAGGAGGAGGAGTAGGAGTAGGAGGCGGAGGAGGATGAGGAGGAGGAAAGGAGGAGGAGGGAGGAGGAGGAGGAGGAGGAGGAGGCGGAGGAGAGGAGGAGGAGGAGGACAGCACTGGATGAGGAGGAGGAGGAGCAGGAGGAGGAGGAGGATCAGGAGGAGGACGCGGAAGAGCAATAGCAGGAGGAGGAGGAGGAGGAGGCGGAGGAGGAGGAGGACGAGGATGAGGAGGCAGAAGATGATGATGCTGCTGCTGATGATGGTGATGCTGATTCTGAGGATGATGATGAGGAGGAGGAACGAGCGGGAGAATGAGGAGGACGAGGAGGCGGAACAGGACGGAAGGAGGACGATACGGAGGATGATGATGAGGAGGAAGAGGAGGAGGAGGAGGAGAAGGAGGAGGAGGATGAGGAGGAGGAGGGGGAGGAGGAAAAATAGGACGAGAAGGAGGCGGGGGATGATGATGATGATGATGATGATGATGATGATGATGATGCTGCTGCTGATGATGATGCTGTGATGATGCGGTGATTATGATAATGATGCTGATTTTGGTGATGATATTGCTGCTTATGATGATTGATGATGATGGTGATGCTGCTGCTGATGATGATGAGGAGGAGGAGGAAGAGGAGGAGGGGGAATCTGATGGGGAATCTGAGGAAGAATGGGCGGAAGAGGGGAGGAGGGGGAGGAGGGGGAGGATGGGGAGGATTAGGAGGAGGGGGAGCAGGGGGCGGAGGGGGAGGAGGGGGAGGAGCATGACGTGGATGAGAAGGATGAGGAGGAAGAGGGAGGAAGAGGGATGATGATGATGATGATGATGATGATGATGATGATGATGACGACGACGACGACGACGACGATGATGATTATGATGCTGATGATGATGATGCCGATGACGATGACGATGATGATGATGATGATGATGATGATGATGATGATGCTGATGCTGATGATGGTGAGGATGATGCTGATGCAGATGATGATGATGATGATGATGATGATGATGACGATGACGATGACGATGATGATGATGATGATGATGATGATGATGATGATGATGATGATGATGATGATGATGATGATGATGATGATGATGA